TGACTATAACAGTCCTGTCCAAATTTAATTTAAAAAAGGCGTTGGCCTGTTTTATGTTAATATCTCATTGTTACTCATCTTGGCTTCTTAATTTCCCCCTTGGGATAAATAATAGATTCCAAATATGGGCTTCTTGCTTGTTTTATTGAAATTATGGATAATTCTGCTTATTTCAGGGAGAGAGAAAAAAGGGCTGAGAAGTTGAGATTACTTAACGTGCATTGATACACCATTTAAGGTGAAGCCTGAACAGAGAGGTATAAAAGGCGCCTTTGTCTTATGATTGACATCTTTGTACCTTTATATTAGCCAGACCCAATTTAGAAAGTATGTTGTGCTTTTCCTGTCATAACACATGCTACAACACATATAACACTACTCAAATGAAGTGAATGTAACTCATGCTGGGGGGGGGGTTAGGAAATTATGACAGGTTCTACCTTATGTGCCATATGCATAGAAATTAAAAGCAGTTGTTGTAATTGCTTAAGTCAGAGTGGCTGGTTCAGATCACAGCCTTTACTTTTATAGAATGTGATCTGTTTGGCCACATATCCTTTCAATTAGACAAATTACTTTATTTAAAAGATCTTTTGTGACCAAAGATGTAACTAAAAATAATCTCATTGCAGATTGTAGAATTGTTTAAATAATCAGGGCCCTGCACTTGTTTTCCAAATTGTTTCTTTTCAGATTGTTTGCATCAAAAGTTTGTTCTTCTGGCCAACTCATTCTTAGAGGCATTCTTTGGGTTTGTAAATGACATTACTATCAGGTCACGCAAAAAAGTTTGTTGTTAGGTGGGGATCAGAGAGGACCTAGGAGCATTCCCCCCTCCTTCCAGAATGTGCAAATATATGGTTTGGTTTGGTTTGATTTGGTTTGATTTTAATTTGAATTGCACCTTGAGGCAAGGTTAAAGTGAGTTCCAGAGATATCTTGGGAAGAATGAAGGAAGTAAGGAACTAATCACAAGTTTTGGACTCCGACCTCATGCGCGCGCGCACACACACACACACACACACACACATACACACACACACAGATATTCTTCCTCCTCCACCACCCCCCTCATGTGTGTGTCTGCCTCTGTGTGTAACACTTTGTTAAAACATGCCATTGGGTATATTATTATAGGTTTATTCAGTGCTTTTTTTCTTTAAAAAAAAAAAAAGTGCCAGAACTCACACACGTCATACAACCCGTCTTGCCTGCCCTATAAGGTTCCATCCAAAAAAGGTGCCGGAACTCCGTTCTGGGCATTCTATGAGAAAAAAAGCCCTGGGTTTATTTCACACATGCATTGCAGCTTTCTTTAGAAAATTAAATGGGTAGGAAGCAATTGTATCAATTGTTTTTCTATTTCACAAACTAACTTCAGAGAGACACCTATCTTTTTCTCTGGCAGAGTTACATTGACATTTGCCCAGTAGAATATATTCCATGTGTTCCTATTCAAAATAATCTGAAGATTATATCACTGTAGCTGTATTTGTCTATGCGCTGTGCAGTAAATGAAATGAAATCAAATCCATATATAAAACATATAATTTCAAAGCCACTGATGTGGGGTATATTTTGGCTGTTACACAGTGTGGGCTTTACTCTAGCATTTGTTTTTTATAATAGAAATGTCCGCTGCCTATGTAGTCTTCAGAAGCTTAGGTGATCTGATTGAAATGCTTTGATAGATGAAATGTATAGGTTAAAGGTGGTGATAGGGCATTCCATCTCTTTAGATATATAGTCATTTTCCATTAGGTCCAGCTCTCATAATTGTTGATAAATTATGAGAATTCTTCTACTGAGTATCTGATAGGTATAACAAAGAACCAAATTGCTGGGATTTCCTTAAGGGCAAAGGAATGATGCATTAGACAAGAAAAGGATTGTAATCAGTGGGATTAAGAAGTAGTCATGAAGGAAACCAAAGAGGAACAGTCTGCAAAACACCACTAACCTTTTTTTCAATTTCCGTTGGCACTTCTTACACAACAGAATCGAACATATTTTATTACAGATCTAAAACTTAGAAGATTTTACCTTGTAGCCACTTGTTGTTTGGTTTTAAATGCCCTATCTTTTCCCGTTCATCATCAATCCTGTTGACATGGGGAATAGGGGACCAGAGATCAGCCTACAGAACTCCCACTTTGTAATATTGCAAAACTTGGTTATTGTTGTGCAAGAAAACAAAACAAAAGCAAAGCAAAGCAAAAAAAAGAGCTTCTTATACATCACTTATTCTTTATGATTCAAACTGTTTTTTTTTCTTTTTGCAAACTACAAGGAATCTGAGTATTGTGTGGGTGGTTGCTACCTACTGCCAAAAGCTCTTGTTAAATACAATTGTATTTTTTAACTGACAATCAATGGTTCTGTGTGTACTTGCTGTGTAAACATGCAATGCTCTATTTTCAAGTACGTGTGACTGTCCTATGTTGTTTAATGGTTATAGGATTTGGAGGCAATGAACCTTCACCTTTTTCTTCAAGGAATCTACTGAGCAAGAAAAGGGTTTGCTTTTTAGCTATGCTAAGCATGCTAATAAATGTGATTTATTTTTGGAGTGCTTTACAATATTTTTTCTTCCATCACTAGTTCTTATGCATACCTATTGCATACATAATGTGATTGATTCTGACTCATTTTGATGCAACACACAGCAGGACTTTTGCCACATAAGTGAACCTGGTCCTCATTTGCAATCTGCAAATACAATAAAAAGCCACCCAGTAAGCCGCCCCCTTATGATGTATCACTTTCAGCTTTACAACATTGGAATAAAATTTACATCATAAGTTATCAGTTTTTTGCAACTGTGACTTCTTTCCAACCTATTATGACTTCCAGTCATATGTGATGGTCCACTAAAAAACTGATACAGCAGTTATCCTGTGGGAGTGACACTGAATCTAATGGGCCTAGATTTACTTACTTAATTATTCCACTTTGCATGCTGCCTTTTCCTAGACCTTGATTAAAAATGCACTGTAAAATAAAAATAAGAATTGCAAATAATAAAGACACGGTCACGCTTGCCAACAATGCATGCACCTCTGGTGCCTTATAAATTTGTAAGGGTGTGGTGTGCATTTATCATTAGGATGCAATGACATTTTCTCAATTGTCAGTTGTTTCCTTCATTGTATTGCTGTCTAAAGCTTCAAATTATATCATTTGGAAGTTCTACCTATGGTGAAACTCATTTCTGAGTAGATGTTTATTCCATTTCTTACTGGGTGACCAAATTGATTGATTAATCTAAATCTTTTGCTTTGGCATTACGTTTTTAATGTAATTAAAATGTTTAATATAATTTTTTGAAAATGCAATTTGGAACATTGGTGTTTTGAGGTGTTTTGAGAGGGTGGCTATCCAAAGCAGCAAATGAATTAACTAATTCTTCTCCTTCATAGTTGCATCAGAATAGGTCTTTTTTTATATATTCTGTCCGTGTCTTTCACAAAGTTTGCTTGAACTATTCACAATTTTGTGTTTTTTACTGTGATTTATTTACAATAAAAAACTGTAAATTTATTTATTTATTTATTTATTTATTTATTTATGTTATTGCATAAACAATGCTACTTTAAAGTTAAGAAACTCAATCACCCACAACTGATATAGACTGTCTGCAATGTTTTTTTCCAGCCTAATGTCAGTAGAACATATTGATCATGATGATTTTAATTAGTGTTGGAAACTGGACAGAAGAAAGAATTCAGCACATGAAACTAAGTGAACAATAGTCAGAATAGTTAATAACATTTCTATTGTATATCAGATGAAGGAAGGCTTTCAAATGAAGTTCTCAGTAAGGATTGAAAAATACCCAGTTTTGCACACTAGATTTGGAGAAAAAAAATGAATATCTCATTGTAGCTGAAGGCAAACTTCTACTTGCTGGTTGTATGTTTTAAATGAAGTTTCTTAGTAATGAACAATCTTCTGTTTCCTAACTTAACAATTAATTTACATTTGTCTTCACTAATTGACATGACCTAATTAACCTTACTGGGTTTCTGATTATTTATTACCTTTAATTGTCCTACTTTCTACATAGTGTACAAAACTATATATTTTTATAGCACATCCTTAATTTTTGTATATACTAAGCTAAAATTGTTTTGGAAATTAAGCTGAGAATCGTACAGATTTTTTTTGGATAGATATTCAAGTGTACCCAAGAGCAAACACATCTGAAAGTAATTATGTTCATGAATATACTTGTATAACATGCATCTTTAGTGCATTTTTATTTGTAACTACAATTGTCCCTGATGCCATAAGAAGATAATAATAAGGAGGATAAGAATAATGTAATTTAACTTCTAAAAAAATTGGCATTTCATAGATAGAAACAGTAATTCTAGTTCTACAAAATGCAAAACAATAAGTATACATTTCTGTTCTGCAAATTCTCTCCTTTATTTATGTAAATATCTTATTACTTGTGACCTGTTTAATGTACAGTATGTTTCAAGGAGTGACCAGTTGTATGTTTGTGATGTATAATTTTTTTTTTAAAAAAACCTACATACATAAAATTTTGTTGATCCCATTATAGAAATCACCTTTTGATTAGCACCTTTTGAAAATTATTCTATAATCCTTTGTTTATTTAAAATAAAAGAATCTTAATTTAGGGCTGCCACTCTGGAAGGAAAAAATGACTTATTCATTAATGAATCAATTTAGATCAATGTACTGAGGAAAAGAGGCTCCTCAGTTCCTAAACTCTATTAATTTCTATGCCTTTAATGAAGCCTGCATGCTTCACATCAGATGTCATCTTACAAAAGTTGTCTTCTTCTAAGACAGCATGTACCATCCAGATTTTAATTTTTCAATAAACTGTTGTAGCCTTACTTTTATTTATCTGTGTCAGCCATTCAATTCTGTACTTTAGAAGTCAACATAGTACAAGCAAGTATCATTCAGTGCTTCAAATGCCTACAACACTGTAAACACTTTTTGTCTACAATTTGCTTTTACAGTCCTCCACAAGCAGCCCAGAGAAGTGTGCCTTTGTTTGCTTGAGCTTGGAAGGATTGCAGCCAGGTAGGTGAACTTATTTAAAGAATGAGCTAGAATGTCATCCTTGGCAGCAGCAGAAATGGAGAAAATTAGTGGTTCAGTGCACTGTCAAACTAACATTTATACTAGTCTGGGTCAAGGCAAAGGTCCAACTATTACTACACATGGAACATATTGGAGGCAGTTGTTCAAACAAAACAGTCAAGGTTTATTGAAAAAAAGTGATAGAGCTTGTATGTCATCTTCAAAATGCGGGGGGGGGGGAACCACCCTGAAAACAAATCCATAATAGAGGACTGATTTCTCAATTACATAGATTATTTGGTGTGTTCAAGTCAGAGTATTTGTTTCAATAATTGGGATTTATTTATTTATGAGACTTATATACCGCTTTAAGTGCGAGCACTCTCTAAACGGTGTACACCAGTAAGCAATGTATATATATATATATATTTACATTGCCCCCAACAATCTGGATCTTTTTGCCTTGGATCATTATTGTAAACAGTAATATGATCATATATCTTTGCATCATCATCATCCTCTTTCTCATATGAATTGTGTTTTGTTTTCAGTCTACCCCAGCACAAGTAAAATAATGAGTTGAGATGAATTTTGACTTCTTTTGTGTTGAGGTAGTTAGCCTCAGATTAAAAAGAAATTTTGTTACAGTGGTAGCAGCAAAAATGTGGGAAATAGGAGTGGAAGCAGTGGGAATGGAAAGTAAGATATAAATAAACCCAACTTGATTTGTTAATGTTTCCAAAGTTTGAAAGAACACAGAGCAAAAATTTCAAATGTTGGACCATGGATGGCTATGTTATTCCAGAGTGGATAGGGAAGTAATAAGAGTTCACACCATTATCTCAACAAATGACCAACCTTTGATATAAGAGTTTGTAGGCTTGCCAGCTCCCATGGGAGGCTGAAGTCTGGAAGTGCCATCAATATGCTGAGGGGGAAAGGGCCCACCCCCATTGCTTTTAATACTTCAAGTGAAAATATGTGACAGCAACAACAGCAGATAATAACCAACAATAAAAATGCAATCAGACCAAAAGATAATGCTGTGAGGAAGCCAAAACCTATGTTTGCCAAGATAAATCATGAATGATGGTCTACACACCCAGGGCTAATCTCAGTCTAAATATATAAAGTTCAGTAAAATGTAGATATGGTAAGATGGCTATATAAAAATGATTTCTTTTTACATTTAAAAACTGCTATATTAAAGCTGCCAGGCCTGACTGAGAAAGTCAAGTGTGGGCAAACACTGTCTTTCTGTTTGTGGCCATCATCTCCATGATGAAATAAAGTTGTGTTCCCTACCCTTTTCACTAAAGGTATTTTATGTAATATTTCTCTCATACAGAGAGCATGGAATTCCAAACAGAATGGAGGCATCCCATTCCACCCTCTTATAGAATGGGATACTTCCACCATATGGCATTTGCAAGGAACTCAAAAGGGAGGAAAAAGAATCCAAAGATGTCTCTTAGATCCATAGAGGGTAGTACTCTATTAGTTCTCAAAAGAAGGATCTGAAGTGAGAAACTCCCCCTACTCACACACTTTCCTTCCAAGTCCATTAGGCTTGCAAGATCCAGAATTTATAGTTAATTACTACTGAATTGGACTTGATTCCTGGTGATGTATGGACACATGCCTTGTGTCTTGACATTTATCTGACAATCTAGAACTCTTCCAGAGAAATATCCCTCATCCTGCCTATCAATTTTATTCTATACTCTCCCATCTTGGCAAATATAATAATTGTTTGTAATCCGTCATCTGTTTGTATCACATGATCAAAATATGTGAGTTTCTACTTGCTTCAATCAGGCAGTAAATCTTAATTTCTTTGAGGACTGATTGATTAGTTCTTAAGAGTGCATAATACTGCCTCCAAATCTAATTAGAAGGAATTTGTATGCATTCTCCCATTGAAAAATCTATATCTTTAACTATTCTGATCTTTGCTATCACTGAAAGTTAAGTTAATCTCTCTTGGGCAGACCCATAGGGTCAATCTTGTCCATTTATCCTTTCCACTGAAGGTTACTATATAAAGGAGTGTATACTTTGCTTTACTTTCAAGTGAATAAGGTTTCTAAACCCACCATATTAAAAAAAATAATAAATTACAAGAAGAAAGAATTGATTAAGCAGAGTTGAATAAATAAAATTTTCCCTATCAGCTTAATCTTTATTTATTGTATATCAAGATATAAGCATATATAGATATAGTACCATTTAATATAAGGGACTGAAACAAAATAAAGGTAACAGCTAAGCTGGAGGAAAACACTCTTAAGCCATTAAATAGGATATATTGTATTATAAGATGTTGAAGAACACAGAAGCTATATCTGATGAGTAAGTGAATAGAAAGGGTCCAGGGAGAACAGAATAATTTACAGCCTCTCAATATCTGTGTGTCCATACTAGATGCATTATTAAAAATCTGGGATATGAAATTAGAAAAAGAAAATCCAATGAGTTAAATTTGACTTGGTTCTGCACTGCATAACAAACAGCACTGAATTCTCTACAAATTAGAAAAAAAAATATTTCCACGGTCTCACTGTCTTTTCCAATAGGTCACTGTCATCTTTCCTGCTCCTGCATAATGGCTAGCAATTCTGAGCCTCAATATTTCTGGAAAATCTGAAAGGAGAAAATCTTCTTAAGGCTATGAATTGCTCCTTAATCCCAGAAAGAATAGGAGCATGCCCAATTGCTTTGTATAATGAAACAAGCCAAGTTATGCAATAAATGCTGCAATGTATTAAGTTGTGCCTTTTGACCAAGGGTACTTCCAGATGCCCAGTCATTAAAACCACAGATATGTCTTATTTCAATTTACTTGAATTATTCAAAGTGTTCTGACCATTTCAAATAATCTGGAAACTGGAATAATCAGTAGTGACATTTGTTGGTGCAAACTGCTTTTTTCTATTGATCAGCTAGTCAAGCTGGTATTCACTTGACTTTATGTCATGATCACATGCAACCAATGAGAGCATTGTGGGGTCATAGGGAAAGGGCTCATCTCTAATGATAGAGTGATACAATTGTCTGGAAGGACCTCTGTGAAGAATGACAATTCAGAAGCTCTATGTCAGTAAATTCAGGGCTGTAGAAATAAAATACAATGCTGTACAAAATTAAATGGTAATGTTGATATAGCATGTAAGATTATGTTAACACCAATACAGTAGTTGCTTTTCCTCAAGTCTACCCTCATAACTAACACAGGTCTCAGGATTTATTTTAAGCAAGAATTTCTAATGTGATTATTAGAAGTTTGGTTTTTCACAGTTTTCAGCAACTGATGAAAATATGATGGAACTGATTTATAAATCCAGGGTTCAATCTATCCTTTTAAAAGGTTTGGTGTAGAGCCTTCTGGATTGATAAAGCTGGAGAAAGAGATTGAACAAGAAGAGACGCTTTCAACTCCTCTTCCTTCTCCTTCCCCTTCCCCAACAAAGTCACCTGGCAAAAAGAGCACAGGAAAAATCCTGGACGATGCAGTAAGTTTGTTTTCTTATATCTCTTAGAGCCTTATTTTGTTATACCTTTTTGAACCTTATTTGTTACTGACTCCATACTAATGGAATAGAATGGAATGGAGGCATTGCCCAATTCCAAACTATCTCAGCGACGTACAAGAAAACCAAACAAAATACAAAACACAATACATTAAAATTATAAAAGAAAGGGAATAAGGAATAAGAGGAAGAATATAGACATATTTTCTCACAGGTTGTTAAAGGCTGATTTCTACCAATGATCATAACAATAAGATTCGAAAACTTGCTCATTCAAGGTATGTGTGTGTGTGTGTGTGTGTACATACACACAAACACATACAGATTCACTTTTCAAATAAGCTGAAATATAGATATTGGAGATGAGAGAAATAGTAATAGCATTCTAGCGACTCTATTCATCTCAGATTCTCTTCATGTGTTTTAAAACGCAAAAAAAGAGAGCAAGGGATCTACTATCAGTAGATAATGCAAGTAGATAAATAGGTACCATTTTGGTGGGAAGGCAACAGTGTTCTGTGTGCCTCAGGATATAGTCATGTTGTCCACATGAAAATGGAAATGTATTCAGACAACATTGGCTCTCTCAGCTAAGAAACAAAGATGAACACAACTGAGCAGGGAATTTTTTTCCTTTTAAGATTTTGTTCATTATTTAATATTATTAACTAGTTGACATTGAATCAGGCCTTTATACCACTGGACTATCTAGCCCAATATTATTCTGTTGCTGTCAATATGAGTTTGCATGGTATTTTACAGAGAATGAAGCAGGTGGTTCTGTGGAAAACTTAAAAAAGAGAGGCAGCAGAAAAAGAAAGAAAGAAATGAAGTAACTTTGTTAACAAGAACAATAAAGTAATTCCCCCAGCTAGTGGCATTCAAATGTGATGGACTTCATTGCTTATATGGGCTGGAGACATGAAGGCGTCCAATATGAGGCCAATATAACTAGTTAGCATCTCAAGAAATGTGCTTCAATGTTCTTTTAAGGAGGCATTGAATAGGATTTTAAAGGATATGATGTCTAATAGGTTGGTGTTCAGGTGTTCAATTTAGAACATTTAAATAACAAGGAATACTCTTTTGGGATGCTGAAGAGCTTTGAAAAATGGAAGGTGGAGAAGTAGAGGCAATTTATGTGGAGAAAGGAAGAAAGTCTGAGATCATGCAGAGTTTTGAATAAGAATGACTAAGAGCTTATGATAGATCCATATTTTGAATTTACCTGGCAGTGGTTTCAGGGTCTTAAGGTTTCCTCTTTTTCTTTTCATCTCTCTAAGTCAGACTTGAAACCTAGGACTTTCTTCTTCATGCAGCTAATCTAGGTACTTATCCTAACAGAATATTACTTGCTTTTCAGTTCAAGGTCAGTGTTCTCTTATACAAGCAGCACATAATAAGCCATGTTCTAGAGAACGAACAGTTAAATGGGAAAGTAAGAATGACACTTTTAAAAGAAGCTGTTTCTATGGCAACTCCTATATCGCAGGGTAGGTGTGTAGCTACTCACCTGGGAATTAACTAAGCACTCCTTGAAAGCCCCTGTGCCACTTAAGAGCTATAATGAACAGATGGAATTTGGTGTATAATTTGTTGAAATGCAAACTTTCTTAGGGTCAGCACTTTTCCCCCTTCCTGTGTCTTTAACTTTTCAAGCTCTCTCACTATGGCTGTCAGAGAAGAATAGAGGCGAAGTTTGTGCGTAGCAATGAAAAGCCATTATTCTTGTAGGAGGGGGAAAAAGAAATGAGGGGAAAAAAAGAATATAAGGTAGCCTTTCCCAACTTACTGCCTGCTAAGAATTTGCACTGTACGTCCCATCGGTCCCGCTAGCATGGTCGTGCAGTCTCCAGGAGATAAAAATGAAACACATCCTACCTAAAGAGTAACAGGTAGAAAGGTAGAGTTAATGTAAGTGATGATTCTTTTTGTCTCTATCATTCGTAGAACAGCAACTGAAGAAAACAAACATAAAGTTACCTAGACGTTTTTCTGATATGCAGAAGTCCCTATTCCACATAAGTAGAATGCAAGTAGTCCTTGATTTTCAACTATTTGTTTAGTGACCATTTGAGTTACAAACAGCACTGAAAAAAGTGACCGATGACCATTTTTCACCTTTCCACTCGTTGCAGTGTTCCCATGGTTCAGGTGATCAAAATTTGGACACTTGGCAATTGGCATGCATATATGACGACTGCGGTATTGTGGGGTCATGTGATCTTCTTTTGCGACTCTGTCAAGCAAAGTCAATAGGGAAGCCAGATTCGCTTAACAACTTTGTCACTCACTTAACAACTGCAACAGTTCACTTAACAATTGTGGCAAGAAACGTTGTAAAATGGGGCAAAACTATCTTGCTTAGCAATATAGATTTTAGGCTCGATTGGGGTTGTAAGTCAAGGACTACTTTTACATATATAACTTCAACTGATCTGCTTCCCAGATCCAGGCACTTTCACCAGGGTCACTACTGTATTATTTTATGCTGCTTATGTGGATTTTAAGTTTTGGAGTGTGAGGTTAGATGTGCAGTCTGATTAGCCATTTACTTAGCCCTGCAATCTGACTGAATAGAGTGGAGCTTATGTGATGTCTCAGGACATTCTCACACATCTGTCCCAAACACATCGTTAATCTGGGCCAAAGCATTGAACTACTATTTATATCACTCCTAAGTGCCTGTTTTGAAAATATTCCCAAGTGATCTTTTCTTCTCTTCCGTTTACTATTTTTCGGAGAATGGCACTACAAGCTTCTTGAAAACCTCCTGGTTTTTTACAGTGTAGTTTTAATACATATATCAATGTATATGTATATGTGTGTGTGTGGGTATGTGTGTGTATACACACACACACACACACATATATAATGTGTTATATATTAAGAATAAATCTTATCTACCATATTTTACGGCGTATAAGACGACTTTCTGAACCATGCAAATCTTCTCCGAAGTCGGGGGGGTCGTCTTATACGCTGAGTCGTCTCATACACCAGAAAATACCGTATTCTCCAGCGTATAAGACAACTTTCTAACCATGCAAATCTTCTCCAAAGTCAGGGGTCGTCTTATACGCCAAGTCGTCTTATAAGCCGGAAAATACGGTATGTGTTGTTAATGTGCTAGGAATGCCACTTGTAAAACAGTGACAGAATAAAGGAAAACATTGCCATATTTCATGGAAAGAAGGCCATTTAAAGAAAAAAGAAGACTTTTCTTTATTCTCAGAGCAAATACTCCTAGAAAATGAGGCCTAATGTCAACAGTTTTCTTTTGTAGATGGACTTGTTTGAAAACATCTGTGGACTTCATAATAGAATTTTTTTTCCTGTAGACAGAGATGAGTTTTTGAAAATAAATTGGCACAAGATTAGCTTTAATGTTATGAAAGGGCATCAGATTTTTGTGCCTAACTTCCAGAAAATCCCCAGTTTATACTACAAAATGGCACCTTTGCCACAATATACATTCACATTTTGGAGCCCCCTATATGGAGGAATACAGATGATGAATGTGTTCATCACATTATAAAATTATATAACTGTTTCCTTGCTTGGCTAAAAGAAAATAAAGAAACCAGATGAAATGTACAAGAATCAAGCAATTATGAAGAATCCAACTTGATAAAACCCCACTCCCTCCCTGTGATAGCAGCAAGACTCCAGTTGAGTTAAGTTTAGGGCAAGTTTAGTTAAAGTGAAGTCATTGTTTATACTTGGCACATTTTCTGGCTGGTTAAAATGGAACTAATAAAATATGCAATAGAACATTTGTTTTGGTGACCTGCTTACATGGTTGATTGTATGACTGGCCGCAATTGAGAACAGATCACTGGATTAGCTCACCTTTAGTCTGATCCAATAAAGCTGCTTTTATTCTTATTATCTGAGAAATACATATTTTTTTTTAAAAAAAAAAGAATGTAAGAAAGTTTAAAACACTATCTTTCTTTAATAGATTTTTTTTAGCAACATATTTATCTTGCTCTCCATCTTTCTTTACACATTGTTGAGTTATGAACTAGATTTACAAAGGTCTCTAGAGTATTAAGCTGAAATGGATGAAATGTTGAGGAAATGCTCCTTCATTGCTTTATTTGACATGGGCATAGTGGATCAATTTTCATCATGGAACACTGCTTTATGTAGAAGTTATACATCTATGTGCCTATCAGCAGTAGTACTTGAATGTCAGATAAGAATTTAGTCAACTAAAACTTTTTTTTGCTGTGAAGTTTCTGTTGTTTCAGTTCATTGGAAATTCTAATTATACTAAATATTAGCACAGCTCAACAATGTTTCACCTACTTGTGGTTTTTAAAATGGTAGAACCCAACGTATTGTGAATTTAATGCAATTATATTATATTGGACATCAATGGGAAGAATATGCAATACAAAATACTTAGACAATATGGAAAGCTACCATTGGCAGTTTTTGTTCTGACACAGTTTTCATAGTTACTTAGTTTTTGAAACGCTATTTTTGGATTATGTCCCAAAAAAACTCAGCATCAATGCTTCATTAATTGATGCTTAGATATAAAATTGAGTATAAAATTATGTGAAAAATCATGTCTTCGTACTGTACTTAAATGTCAAAATTGAGTTACTGCACTTTAATACTATAATATTACCACATCCATATACTGCTCTGATTCTCATGGATGCCTAACATGATAATGATGTATATATAACAAAGCTGGGCAAATTCTATTCTTGGAGCCACATGCAGAGGTCGGATATAAAGGCACTTTAAAAGACTTTGCTATGCTTCTCATCATGAGATGACCAACAGGATTACAAAAGAAACATTTGAGTGAAATCATTAGCTGAATGATTTCTTCCTGAAATCAATGGCAGAAAGCCCAGCAGCCTGATGTCTGCTAGCCAGTTGGATCATCTGAGGGTGAAAACACACTATGTTCAGGAGAATCTTGAATTAATTATGAATACATACCTATATATGTGTCTCAGTGTATATAAAGTTGTCATTGTGCTCATACATGCTTTTCCCATGTGTACATAAGTATTCTCCAACCCTTGAGGCTGAACAGCTTACATTTTGGATTTCAATTAGTGGTAGTCCAGTTTTAACCATTTAAACCCGGGGTAGGCAACCTTGGCTCTTTTATCACTCATGGACTTCAACTCCCAGAATTCCTGACCATGGCTGGCTTAGGAATTCTGGGAGTTGAAGTCCATGAGTCATAAAAGAGACAAGTATGCCTACCCCTGATTTAAACTAAGCATATAAAACCAGAGAACAGAACCGCAGGACTTTTAGGACTTTCTCAAAATAATGAGCAGGAAGATCTTTCTCTCCATGTAGCTACTGTGATTTAGGACACTTTGAAATAATTCCAGAGGCAATATTTAATAAACGTCTGTGAACACCTTCTACTGGAAAAACTTAAATTAAAATAACTAATTGCATGTGTTTTTTTTAAATCCACATTCCTGAACAAATGGCCAGATCTCAAGGATACTGTTTATTATAAACATTAATAATATAGAATGTAATGGCACATCATTTTTTGGATTGAGAGGCAGAGATGTAAATAATTTTTCATGTCTTATTAGCAACAAAATTGGGGTAGTTAAAGTTCAGGGTTTCAGAAATCTGAAGGGAAGCTATTGAAAGGATGCAACAAGTTAAGTATTACTCATTTTTGAATGCCACTTGGCCTCTTGATTAGTGTTTCCCAAACTTGACAATTTTAAGGCATGAGGACTTCAAGTCCCAGAATTCCACAGCCAGCAATGCTGGCTGTGGAATTCTGGGAGTTGAAGTCCACATGCCTTAAAATTATCAAGTTTGGGAAACACTGTTCTAGATGAAAATTATGGAAGAAGTCAAGATGTTAAGAAAGTAAGAGGAGATGATGTAATCAGATTATAGAGTAGTAGATGAGACAATTCTAATTCACTTCCCATTTGATAGCCCTCTTAGCTCTTTCCAGAAGGCCAATGGATGCATCAGACTAAAATGACACACAGAGAGAGACTTAATTCTTAACTCGCCTTGTAACAGGAACAAAGCAGAGTAATGGTATATTAACTATCTGTATCCAAAGAAGAGGTCCTGTAACTCAGTGGGCACACCTATTGAAAGTCCTGTTTTGGGAAATGTAGGAATGGGAAGACTATACATTCAGAGGATCTACATTTCAGAAAAGTCTGGAAATTAGTTCCATCTCTGACAGAGACTGGATATAATCTGAGATAATGGAAGAATAATGCAGAATATACATTGAAATTATAACTTTTTTTAGGTCAAACATATTTCTGAAGATCCGCCTTGTAAATGCCCTAGTAAATTTTGTGTGGAGCGCCTTTCACAGGGAAGATACAGAGTTGGAGAGAAGATCCTTTTCATCAGGGTAAGAAAAAAATAGTATTCTTTTTGTGAAGTGAAATATGGTAAGTAAGCAAATGAGTGAGAGAAATGTTTTGTGACCTGTGCTATTATAAAAAGATATTCAGGAGCCTACATTCATGTGCTCTGTCAATGTTGAAGGGGCTGTGAGCAGGATGTCATCTCAGAAGTCTTACTTACTGAATACTTGAATCCCATCAACTAAGATTTGTTCTCATACCCGACCCATTACAAGACCCTCACTTGATACATCCACACCTGAAGCCCTTATAAACAGAAGAACACTGACACTGACATCCCCTAAACTCTCCTGAAGATGTTACCTAGCCTGGTGACAAAACCAAACCACAAGCTTGGAGATTGAACCTTTACCCTCATCCTATATCAGAACTAGAGATATTCGCTACTATTTCAAGATTTGTTCTCTCCATGTAGTTCACTGAATTCCTCTTTATCCCTTTTTCCTCAGTCTTTCCTTCTCTCTCCACCCTTCAATCAGCTCTAGTCTTGGGGGAACCTTCAGGGCCAATCTGTATTATTCATATGAAAAACAGTCTGAAATAAATTCAGATTATATTCTCAATATGATTTTTGTGACTATCAAGATCCACACACTTCTAGCCATATTTGCTTTTAGAACATTGTTTTCTCACCAAAAATCCCAGCATCAGCCAACAGCAAACTGTTTATGTATTGTTGACAAGAAAGTGACATAGACACATATGTGAAATCACCAGGCCCTGAGCTCAATTCAGGGGAATTTATTCATCCATTAATCCCTAATCCATTGCTGCAAGATATTCACTTCTAGATCTCACTATGCTTGTGCGTAAAGCTAAAGATGAATTTGAGCCAATGCCTGATGATCACATGAATACAACCTTATGGTTTTCTTAGCACTAGCTCAAAAATGATTTAACATTACGTTCTTTTTCTTCCCTTCCTGCCTTTTTGAGTTTTCAGTGTACCCTAAAGACTTGTAGTCTTCTAAATCAGGGGTCCACAACTTGTGGGCTGCAGCCCACTACCGGACCGTGGCCTACTGACCACTGGGCTGCGGGACAGGTTGGTCAGTGTGCGCACGTATGTATGAGCACTCACACCCTCTTGCACTAGTACTGCTGCTATACAAATGGGGCATCGCATGGCAAAAATGGGGTGCCACGTGGCAAATCCGGGGTGGTGCTAGCACTCATGCAGCAAAAATGGGGCAGTGGTAGTGACACACGGGTGCTCGCACCGCCCCGTTTGCATTGTGGGTGCTCGTGCCCTGTTTGTGTGCACGTGCACGAGTGTAAAATGCTTCCCCCTCCCTTTCCCTCCAGTCTGTCAACTGAGAAAGGTTGGAGACCTCTTTTCTAAATGTTATCTACCCTGCTTCTGAATGTGGACAAGTTAGTCAGCTTTTTCCTACTATGATGAGTATCTTCCATTTTTCACCTGATGGGAAATAAAAAATACTATTCTTTCCTCTTAGAAACTCTGTGGAAGATTTATTGATTTTTTAATATAATTATTACATTAATTAAATAAATAAGCAAATTAAATTTATTTATTTAATTTATTAATTACTGGAAGTAGCATCCTGTAACAAGATAGAGATAGGTCAAATGTGAGAAATCAAATAATGCAGAGACTGAAACTATGGTAAAGGAAAACATAGAATATAAAGAATGAAAATAAAATGAATAAAGGCAAAACCATATATTTAGGCTCCAGTTTCAAAGTATTTTAGATATGATGTCTATGTCTATATGATGATATCTTCAGTAGTTTTTAAAGAACTCGTGATTTCAGATTCCATTTCCCTTGTTTATTTGTGTTTTTATCTTTGTGTATGAATACATTTTAAGGATATGCATGATACAGGGCTATGTATCTTGTCTGTCTGACAGTCAAAGGAAAAATAATGAATTACTTTTCAAGTTTCATACTTGTGTAGTCTTTCTGGGGTTTCATGATTTTATGTTTAAACATGCCTCAGACTTGTTTTGGTAATAAACATTGTAAGGAATGTAATTCATCTACAGTACTCTAGCAAATCCCAGGCTCAGATGGTAACATTTTCTTTGATTTCAATTTTTATGGATTCGTTTTAGTCTTCTGAAGACTACATGGTCTTAGAACAATTTAGAGCAAAACAAAATGATATAAAAAAATCAAAGTTCAAACTAAAGTACAGGTACTAACAACAAATGGAAACAATGAATTTTATTAATGATAGCAATAATAAAGCATTAAGTTATTAAGAGATACGTTTCGAGATTAGGAAGAGGTCATAGCTCATTCACAGAGCAAATATTATAGAGGCAAAAGATACCATGTTTCATTTCAGGTAGGACAGTAGAAGAAATCCAAAGATTTATTTTCCATAGTCCTTTCAGGCCACATCTTCATATCTGAAAAACAATGAGGATCCTGTCTCCATTTGCTAAAAATCCTGCTGATGAGGAGGTAGTCTACACAACCATATGGATGTCTCTAGTAGGAAGGAGTTTTAATGCACATGTAAAAGCTTCTACATGACTTGGACCTTAGTAATCCAAGATTTCAATTCATGTGAAAGGATCACCTGGTAGAAGCTACTTCTCAATTGCAGATAGTCATCCTGTTTCTAAAAGTTCATGGAGGTCTATGTTGCAAATGAATGTATCAGCTGCTTAATGCTCCCTGAGAGTGAAAACAGGCTATTGGAATGTTAAGATCTATGTAATCCTTAACTCTAAACCTATTTCATTTTCAATGGTAATGGAATTTTCCCATGTATTTTACTGTGAACCCCAAACAATTCTGAATGAAAATCTGTCACTGATGCTTTCCTTAGAAAACTGCTAAGAATCTATCCCTAACATTAGATTTCGGCCATGACTTTTAATAGACCTAACACTAACACTAACCCTAGTTTCATTTTCAATGCCAATGAGATTTTCCCATGTAATTTACTCTGGACCACAAAAAACCCGAACAAAAAGTTTTCATTGACCCTTTCCTTTAAAAAGTGCTAAGAAACTATCCCTAGCATTAGATTTCAGCCATGACTTCAAATAGACCTAACCCTAACCCTAGTTTCATTTTCATTGGCAATGGGATTTTCCCATGTAATTTACTGTGGGCCACAAACAAGTCCAAAATAAAAGCTATCACTGACAATTTCTTCAGATAACCACTAAGAATCGATCCCTATCATAAGATTTCTGCTATGACTTCAAGCAGATCTAACCAGTGGTGGGATTCAGCCGGTTCGCATCACTTCGGCAGAGCTGGTAGCTAATTTTTTGTTCCCCAGGCCAGAATGGACTTCCGGAAGTGGCATCCACACAGAGAACTGGTTGTTCACATATTTGAATCCCACACTGGATCTAACCCTAACAGTAACCATACTTTCATTTTCAATGCCAATCGGATTTTCCTATGTTATTTACTCTGGACCACAAGCAACTCCAAATGAAAAGCTGTCACAGTCGCTTCCCTTAGAAAATGTCTAAGAATCTATCCCTGGCATTAATTTTCAGCCATGACTTCAAGTAGTCCTAAACCTATCTGTAAGCCTACTTAGTTTCATTTTCAATGCCAGTGATACTTTCTTATGTATTTTACTGGGAACCATGAACTCTTCCAAACAAAAATCTGTCATAGTCGTTTCCATTAGAAAACCTTTAAGAAACAATCCCTTGTATTAATTTTCGGCCTTGAGTCCATGTAGATCTTAACCAAAATGGACTCTTTTGTTGTGTGGGTACGAATATTTGACTGTTATTTTAGACTATATATTGTTATCATGAAAAATGTAAATCAATACTACCAGACGGTTGATAGTAATTTGGCACTCTAAAAAGTGGTGAGAGTTTTTTTTTTAAATTTATTTTCAGGAAAGGTGCATCTAGAACCTGGTTTCAATTCACTTCACTATAAATCACAGACTCTTAAACATTGTGCTTCTTTCTTCTTTCAGTTCCAGTCTTATTAGTCTAGAATGCAACTTAATTCAGAACATTTTGACATTCTTGAATGGAAGTTGCAGTAGACAGCTATGTAGCTATCATGAAGGTTACTACCTCAGGATGACAGCATTATTCCTTCTTCTCTATGTTTTGAGGGCTTATGTGCATACTGTTCTTAAAACAAATGTTAACAATTGAGGCCAACAGCTATACTTTTCACTCAATTTCCCAATATTTTATTTTGCTACCCTAAAATAGAAAGAATATTTTTAAAGATGCAGTTCGGTACTTATTTCTAGATAGTAATGCTTGCTTAGGAGCATAGTAATCTAGAAATGTATCCCATAATGGTGGTTAACTGGTTCAAACATAAGGCTGACCACTTTTCCTGTTTCAATTCCTAAAATCACTTTTAGTTTAAAGGAGAGATTAGGAATGATTTTCTGGTCTTTTTTTTAAATTTACCTATTTACTTTATTTACAGATTTGCTATCTTTCTGCCTTTTGCCAAGCAATTATATTACTCAAAGGGGAAAATGGCCTTTCTCTCTTAAGCTATTTGTTTACAGCCAATTGCAGCAGAGCAAATTAGATATGCACATTACTGATTAACATTTTTTTCCAATTAATGTAAGCTACTTTGGGTAGCTATCTGACTGCTAATATATATATCAGCCCAGGTTCGAATCTCAGAAGGGTATGTCCTGGCTGATGAGAGCTAATTAGCTCGAAATAGCTATTCCAGTCTCCTTTAATTCTTTGTTAGCAATCCCCCAAAAAATTTGGATTGCTAACAAATGATGTCGCAGTAGCGACTGCTGCCTGTGGATGGCTTTAGATTGAACTGATACAGGCAAAAGATTCCTTTCTCCCATATTTGGGATGACAGGGTGCATCAAAAAAACAACAACAACCATAAAACAACAACAACCAAACACTCAAGGTAATATATATATGCAGTCAGATAGTTACCCAAAGTTGGTTTTTAGATCTTTCATCCCAGAGAGATTTCCCAGCATAAAATAATAGTGAGCAGACAAAGCAACAACAAATAAACTAGAAA